CATACTACTACATACTACTACGTACTACTACATACTACTACATACTACTACATACTACTACATACTACTACGTACTACTACGTACTACTACGTACTACTACGTATTACTACGTACAACTACATACTACTACGTATTACTACATACAACTACATGCAACTACATACTACTACATACTACTACATACTACTACATACTACTACATACTACTACGAACTACTACATACTACTACATGCAACTACATACAACTACATACTACTACATACTACTACGTACTACATACTACTACGAACTACTACGTACTATGCCTCGTTATAAAAAAATATATATAAAAAAACAAGTTACTATACGAATCCTCCTCTTTCTGTCACGCAATCTACCGCTAACCTAATATTGCCTTTTTATCCTCCCCTGTACATGTAATGTAAGATGATCTAAGATCTATACACTGTGTTTCCCCTGGCGAAACAAGTGTGTTTGCGCATTTTGACGTCCTAAGAAATCGAGTTAGGGGTCTGGGGGCATGCCCCCCTCGCAAAATATTTGAAAAAAAATTGTTAAATTTGGTGCATTCTAGCCTATTTTAGTGCATTATAAGCACCGTTCTATGGAAGAACATTGATTTTCGTCAGCGAGGCAGTGTTTTGGACAAATAGCGCGGCCCGCCTCGCTCGTGTCAATGCAGGGGAAACACTGTATGCATATAATATCTGTCTCCTACATCTAACCCTGCATTGCTATCTCACTCACCCATTCTCTGCTACATCACTCGCCCGTAACCTTACGCTACTACAACAAGTATATCAAGAATACATGTCTTCTCTCTTGTTCCTTTGTTTCCTTGTTTCCTTGTTTCCTCGCGCATCTTCTCTCTCTCTCTCTCTTTCTCTCTCTCTCTCTCTCTCTTTCTCTCTCTCTCTCTCTCTCTCTCTTGTTCTCTTTTGTTGTTTTCTCTCTTGTTCGTCAGCAGGTCTATTTAGCGCGTCTTTTTTCTTTGCATCTCTCTCTTTCTCTCTCTCTCACTCTCTCTCTCTCTCTCTCTCTCTCTCTCTCTCTTCTCGTTCTGTTCAGTTGTCTTCTCTCTTGTTCTCTTTAGTTGTCACTTTAGCATAATCTTTTTTGCGACAAAATTTTCCTCGCGTGTCGACAGCTCAGAGCGCCATCTGGCGGGCGACGATCCCGCCATCGGTGAGATCAGCGACTACGACAGCCCACCACCAGGTAGCGCTCCCAAGCAGCGAGCGGACGCGGGATCGGCCCGCGGCAGCGGTGGCGCGGCGACGGAGCAAAGAAGGAAGAGGCGGCGTGTGAGGATGCGGGATGACGCCGTCGCCGCGGTTACGCGGAGGGATGCTGCGGATGCACGTGATGAGGATGCTTCGTACCAGGACGTCGGGGACGTGTTTGGTAGGTTCGCGCGAGAAAATCCAGAATACATTCAGATACATAAGTAAGATCCAGAATAGATGTTTGACGATGTATGGTATGTTTTCTGCTCTATTACGTTCTAGTTTCTTCTTTGGATTACCTCGTGTGTGTTACAGCATTGACGGGGATCCGTTGTCAGAAAGAGAATTGGTCTTAGCATTAGTCTTAACCGTGTCAATTTAATTAGCAATTAATTAAAATCATTAGCAACTTGGTCTCGTAGGTTTGACCACTATTCAGTGCGCGTGAGAATCTTGTAACTTTACCACGATTCTCGCAATGATCTATGCGAAAAAGTACATGTTGAGACTAATGTTAGGACAGTTTTGTTTCTGACAACAGGTAGGAGAATGATTGAGTAAATCCCCTGATTAGGTAAAATTATTAGGATTGGACCCTTGAATCCCCCTCCCATGATTTCTTTTATAAAGCTGTGACGTCACACGATCAGGCTATAGCATTGTAACATCACCTGATCAGGCTAGCATTGTGACGTCACACATGCAGGCTTGCATTGTGACATCATGCAACGTTCTAAATCATTGTAAAGCACGTTAGCCTAGGAATGTGAGCTTAGAGCTCACTGTGGGAATGCTAGAGTAAAGTAAGGCACGAAGGGTCGTTGCCGTATCAGGTACTACATATATGTACCTGAGGTAGTTTTAGGTTGTTTAGTATTATGTTTATATTTTTATACGAGGTATGTTTAGGGTTAGCGTTAGGGTTAGGGTTAGGGTTAGGGTTAGGGTTAGG